CTTCTTTTATTTTTCTAGCTTGTCTTTTGGATAATTGGAAAATAATTAATATGGATAGAAAAAATGACAATGTCGTGCCGTTCGAGGTACAAGTTGGCAGCACTGATTCACTCAGCTGTTATGTTTCTTCCCATAGCGAAATGTATCATCATAACACCATTCGTATTTGCCTCCCACGATTTCTAACCTCGACGTTGCCGCTATTCAAAGTTGCGCACGTAGAATTCCTATTTTTCATCAGTTTTTTAATTATCACTTCCAAACAATTCTCCTAGGCCGCCTGAATTTTTTTTATGTTCATCCATAAAAGCTCCAGCCAAGTGCGAAAATTCAGGAAAATGGCAACTTTTTTTTTCCATTTTTGATATATATTTTTTTAAATTCCCATAAGAGCCTGTGTTAAAATGCATTTTTTTAGAAAAATTCCTGTATTTCACCCATTCTCCATGGGCTATTTGGGATTTTGCATAGGGTTTTTAAAAAAATCAAAGAATGTATTTAAAAAAATCATCAGTTTCTTGACTTTTTGTCAACCTCCCCTGACTACGCCATAAATACCTTAAGAATTCTCCGCCCTTCAGGGTTTTTCGCTCTATGAAGGAATTGGCGCAGGTTCTTTATATCAATCATATTATTAGGTTTACACAGAGAGAAATATTCAGTAAAAATTACGGAACAATTCACGTAATCCGCAATGGGGAATCGTGTTCCGGCAAATTTTATAGGAATGGAAGAGCAGAAATCTGAACAATTCAATGAATTTTCAGGTTCATCACCGAACAAAGTACGAAATTTTCACGTAGTTTTTCTCGAAGAAGTAAAATCTTACAGAGAATTTCCGACTTATTATGCCTCCAAAATCAAAAATTCTCGAACGTTCAACAATTTTTATAAAGCTGGTGAGTTATTTCTACGTTCCGTTCCGTAAAATTTCTCAATCATCAGGAAAAAAATACAGAACGACTTGTCCCCACGACGGGTGGTTTATTTTTACGGAATAAATTGTAGAATTTACGTGGCGATTCGTAAAAGTTCAGTGCCGACTCACACATTTTATTGAATTTTACTTCGCTCGCGAATTACGTTTCGAAACGTATTTTTTTTTTCTGGTGATTTTTATTGAATTTTTCGAGTTAGTCTCTCCTCCAATCCCTTCACATCAACGCCTTGCGATATTTGATCGGCGAAGTCACTCCACAGTCACTCGATAGCAAATGAGGATGAACGGATCCACTTATTACTTCTAGAGTATATAACAACTCGGAATAAAGTCCACGTATTAGACTACATAGAACCAATAAATATTAGTTAAACCATACATGCAGCTTTAACTGATTATTATCATCATTGCAATCAACTCTTACCAACACATAAAACAAGAGAACAATATGCCATTAACTTAATGACCGGTTTAGTCCTTATAAGCAGTTATAAACAATTTTTCATCGAGTGAAAAAAAAATTGCAAGGATATATGTGCTTATGTTTGTACCCTCTATTTACGGTTTCTCTAAGTGAAACCATTGGAGGGAAAAACGACAGGGAGAGTGAAAAATAGAATTATAATTCAATACATTTCCAATATTGACGTTGAAAAATATGTATGAAAATATTTCACACCATTCTAATTTTCTCAAGTAAAACGTTAAATTCCTCCACCAAGCGAACAAACAGCAGCAAAAAGGCTACACGCTAATGACTCAGAGAAATTTCTCCGTAAACACTTCAGCCTCTCCAACTGGGGGGTCTTAACAGCGTAACGCAGGTGCCTTCACCTGAAAACACCTCCTCGACCCTATTATCCTAATAAACAATCGATACTACAACGGTAAAAGCCGAAACAATTAAACCTCTCCAACAGCGTAAACCCCATCACCAATTTAAATGCAGTCAAAAAAAAACACAGAGCAATCGAAAACCAATTTGTACAGTATGCCGTCTCAAGCCATCAATCATAAAACATATGATACAGCACATCACAGAGACTTCTCATTCTCTTGCCCACCCTCTTCCCACGCATCAATCGACCCAATCCGCCCGGATCATCTCCAACAGCATCAAGAAGACACATAACTAACCTAACGCGTGGGCATATTCCTGATAGCGTCGTCTGACGTACCGTAATACTACATTTGAACCCCCTAACTGCTAAATAACATAACCCAGCATAATGCACAATGTGTGTCCCTCGAAACTGCTGTCTCGCGTGTGCACTTTCAACTTGTGGTTTCAACAGAACAAAAAAAGAAAGAAAAAGCTCCAATGCAAGAAAGTAATGAAAACGATACCGTGCAACGACCTCCTCACTTCTGCCTTTTTCTTTTTCTCCCTTCACCCTTTTTTTTATGGTAAAAGGGCGAGAGAGAAGGAGTGGGACATTGGAGTGAGGTTTATGGTACACGTAGCCTCATGAGAAATAAGGCGCGGGGGAGTTAAAGATCACGATTGTACAAATCGATCGGTCGGCAGGGCTACGAGACGCTCATGTATACATTCATTTTTTGCTAGTACGGAAATTGTTCCGGAATTATCATGTTTTCGCGCCTTTTCTTCAATCCATTACTTCTCAGCAATCGATTGACAAGTAGTGGAGGGTGGGGCAATATGGACAGCGGATTGAAATAGTGAGTTGAATTGGATCAAATCTACTGTTCCGACGACATTTGAAGTTTATAAAAACGAATACTTTGTTATAAGACTACGTCGTAGGAGTTTTAAGGCTAATCAAAAATGGGGTAAAATGGGCAGTTCGATTTCTTCCTCAATTTTTTATACTTCAACAATTTTATTTAATTTTTGAAACACTAGTTATGACTGCGATGGTTCTAGATGAATTCATCCCAATAAATTAATCCCATGACAAGTTCATCCCAAATATCAAATTTCAATGGAATTTTTCACGGTCACAACAATAATTCGGGGAGAGAAAAATATTAATTTTATTTTCACAGAAAAAAGCACTAAACATAACATAAAAATCAATCAAATACTTCACGATTCCCTCCTAGTATTGTTTACACAACTGATCAACGCATCAACGGGAAACATTGCAAAAAAAACGGTCAAATCATTCTTATCTATCTCATCTAACATTCGATAGGCTACACGTAATCGACCACAGCATCAATTTACAAAATCAGTACAAAACTTGAAAATTAAGTGACAAATTAAACTACAAAAATCAGTAATTCATATTTCAGCAAATTCTCTAAAAACTTGACAACTCAATTGAATTATTAAATTAGTCCATTTCTCGTCAACATTGTATTGCATCTTAAACAGTCAATACATCATGATGATGACACTCTGATGTTAATCCGATAAGTCACGCGCTTTAGCCAAGCGTATTCTTCATCCAAACAGTGATAATAAAAAAATGGGATGAATTTGTGGGATGAATTAACCGTATACCGAGTGCGATTTTCAAATTGAAAAAAAAAAACTCATTTTTTCTTTTGTCATGGGGGGTGGTAAACAAAATTTTTCTTTGCTCATTTATCCTCTCCTCCTCCCATTCTTTTATGGTGATTTCCTTTGTAAGTAGAAAAGTAACCATCTTAAAAATTTCGCAACTGGAAAAAAGGTCAATTGTGTAGAGCGTACAATTATTCATTGAAAAAACTGAATAATTTCAAAGTGATTTCAATCGTGAAACAGGAAATCCGAAGTTACTCTATATTTCAAACTTCAATGCGAAATTTAATAGAGTTAAAGTTCATTTGTTAATATCACTTTCAACTCTAATTTCTCTCTATAAAAAGATACCGACACGGTATCTTTTTGTTGGAAAACGTCTGTTGAAAATTTTCTTCATTAAAAGTTGAATAGGGGCAACTTTTTCTTGTGTCCATTTTACCACACTCTTGAATAATTTTTCGGTTGTGGATATTGCCAAGAAGCAATTTTTTAAAATTCGATTAATGAAAATTTGTTGAGCGTCCATTTTAGTCCATCCTATACGGATTTATCAGGTGTCTATATTGCGCAATAAAACGATTTTCAAAAATTTGAATTTAAAAAAAAAAAAAATTTCGCACATTTTTTGAGTGTCTATTTTACCCCAGATGTCCATATTGCCCCCCCCCCTAATTACAATCTCAAGAAATCCACTTTAAAAAAATTCAGTGCAACGATTTTTGAAGCCTCTATTCCGCTTATCAAGGAATGTAATACGATGTCTACGTATATTTTTTATGCACTGTAATTTTTTGTTTACAGTAATTGTAAAAAAAATCAGAAATTCATTCTTAGTGTAGTAAAAAAATATACAGTTTTGTGAAAAAAATATACACAATATATTTATACATTATAGAATGTATACTATATGCATTTATAATTTTGTATACTTCAATTTTTTTACCTGTAAAAAAATTAATATAGTTCTGTATACATAGTACATAATGCATCCCTAAATATAAAAAAAGAACGCGGAAAGCAAAAGAAAACGAAGAAGATAATGAAGAGGAAATTAAATTCTCATTGCGAAAAACTTTATTAAAACCATTCATTTCTCCTGTATTATTATCGAAATAAAAATTAATGAAAGTGCTAAACGGTAAGGTTTTACTATTCTGGCACCCATGGCAAACAATACACACGCGAATCGCACGCCCTGTTGTAGTTAAGGAAAAAGGGATAAATTGAGTTAAGAGAGGGAAACACGAGAGATGAAAATGAATGCAAAGTACTCCAAAGTTTACGAATTCAACATAATAAATTCAGTAGCGAAGCGGTAAAACGGTTCAAGTCGATTTTGATTATTTACCAGTTTTCAATAAATATCTCAGAATGCAAGGGAGATGGCAAAATTTTTGACATAACCTTTTCTATAGCACTCAATTCGCTCTACAAAAAAGGTCATTACAAAAATTTCATTATCTCTCCTGAATTCGTAAATATTCCTCAAAAACTCAGATGAGAGTTAAGTCAACTTAAACCGTTTTACCGCTTCGCTACTCAATTGAACTTTTTAATGATCGCCCCTTCATTTTTTGCTTTCAGGTCCTGCAGAAAGACATTGAGGCACATGGTCGTATTGTAAGTTCCGTGGTAAAGCTGAGTGAGCGTGTATCGAAACAGCAGGAGAGTAGTGAAGTTGATCAAGATAAGGAATCATCAAAAAGTTGGCAAAACCGTGAGGTTGTTCAGGCGATTCGAGTGGCAGGCTCCTTGGAGAGACGCTGGCATCTTTTATTTCTTCGAGCACTCGAGTGGCAGTGTCACATTGAGACACTAGCAACTCGCCTCTGTAATAAGGTAATGGGCAGTAGCCTTCAATTATACTGGTTTTATCAGGCATCTTGGTACTGCTGGATACTCTTCTGTTGAAGAAACTTCACACTAGCGTTTGCATACATTATTTTTGGAACGTGAGATACAGTTATAATGTTGGTGGAAAGTTCTAACATACCCGCACAGATTCGATTAAATTCATATTAAGAACTCGTTTCGTATGACGCGTGCGAATTCATATTAAATACTTGGCTAATTAGGTGAAATAAATCAATTCAATTGAATTATTGGAAAGTGACGAAAGGAATTGGACAGTTCAATCATTATTTATGGAATTTCATGTTCCATTTACACATGTCAAATACTCGATAAACGTTTTCACCATGTTAAATAAGGTGAAACACTCACAACTTCATTCGGTTGAAAATGAAATGTAAAGAATGCTATGTATAAACTGGTATGGTTCTGATAATGCAAGTTGGTTCGAAACACCTAGGGCAACTCCTATTCCACGCGAGAATCAGCATTGAGGAAGTCGGATATAGAAAGCCAATGTATGAATACACTGTGGTACAACATTAACCGCATGCGATATTACACTCGTCATTTTGTCTTTCAATGCGAAATTGTTTGATGAGTCTTATGCAGAGTTTTCTGCAGCACAAAATCACGTACTTATGATTCATGAATCATTGATGGAGGAAGTGGAGCGTAACTGGGACTCAAGCACAGCCTATTCTCAGTCATCACTCTAATTCATTCCCCTGAGACTTGTCACCGATACATTTTTTTTTTCAGTCAAAAAAAAAATTGTACAATTTTCTCATTACAACTGTCGAGTGTGTTGTATTCGTCGTAAACACAAGAGGAAGCACAAGTTGTTTATCGATCGAGAGGAGCCTTAATGCGTTCCCTAGAGGTACAGTCATAAAAAATTTATGCTGCAATGTTATATTACCTTTCTAGGAACGTCAATACTACCTGCAGTCCCACGTCGTTTTGACAACTCACATAATTCGTACAACACACCCCTAAGTTGAGCTCACGCTGCATTTCAGTAGAATATTTACAATGTTTTTCTTCTGTTGTTCGAAATGCTCCGCAGTCTTTTTTTTATCAAGGTACTAATCATACCTGCGTGTGAAATTGTCCATAGGAAACCAGAGTTGTTACACTTTCAAATTGCATGGCACACTGATAACAAAAATTATTTTTATTGAAATGTTTCTTTCTTGGAACAAGAATTATATACTTGAACCAATTGCAAATAAAAAAGATTTAAGGTGAATAGCAATTATTTCTTCTTGAGATACATTTACTTGAATCAAATACAACAGTCCTTGACGTCAAGTCCCATGTATTCACCATAAAAATGGAAAAGTTCTATTTTTTTAACCTAATATAATCTGCAGTCGAGCAATTTTCTACTTTCATGAATTGATCAAAAATGCGTACCTAGGAGATGATTACATTGAGGAATGAAGTGAATGTTGTTTTCTCGAATGAAGCCGATGTTTAAATTGAGCTTTCCGTACATCACATTGAACGAAATTTGTGATATCCAAGTTTGTGTTGAATTGCCGTAATCTGTGATTCTGTTATTGTAAACTAATGCGATTTTTTTTAGTCAAAAAATATAAACTTCTTTCAACTCAACGACATCTTACTAATATCTCAAAGCTTTTTCCGCGTAACAATATTCATCCTGATTCCACATACGAAATGTTCACTTCAATTATAATTCGCTTGGAACAACGAATGATCGTGTTGATTGAAATAACAACCTATTTAGTCATGAGAATAATTTTGATTTTTGAGTCAACCAACGAATTTTTGGAGTTAACAAACTTTTGGGTAGAAGAAAATCAAATACTCTCATTATTGCGACAAATAAAAGGAACTTCAATTATAGAGAAGTTCGATTTCTCTTAATCAAAGGTATCTCGAGAAGAGATAACTGACATTCACTGTGAAATCATGTTTATTTGAAAATTTACAATCAAATGATAGTTGGTTCAAATAAAATTCTCTTGATAAAATGAATTTATTCTGTCAGTGGACTTCTCCTCGAAATTTTCAAACAAATTTCCTTCTGAAAGTTATCAGTATTGTTCGAACCTAATGCACATTGATCTTCATCATCGCCTCCTGGAGATAATGTGCCTTGATTAGTAAAAATTAGCCGCATTCTGTTACCCCTTAATTAAGGATAAAACCTTTCCCGCGAAGATTTAAAGATCATTGAGGCACACGAATGAATGACTTGTTGTTCTCATTTTCACTTTTTTTCGTTGATTCTACTAGTGTCATTAAGCTGTCCCATTAAGTGATCTAACGATGCTTTTGATAGATAACTTTTTCCGGAGATAAATTCATACATTTGTCAAATGATACTGATGTAAAATTATCAAATTACCTCAATTAATAATCCGAAGGTGCAGGAACTGATTAAAAAATATGTTATACTTGATAAATCGTCACGTTACACTTTCCTCCACTTCATTAGAAAGATATCCATAAGCCCGTCATGTTCAATAAATTTTGAATTACTTCCTGATAATAAATCCATTAATTACCAAAACAGACAGATACAAAATTAGAAAACTTATGAAACTAATTCTCACAGATACGAACAAACGAACCGTGATTCCAAGGGAACTCACCCGTAGGTGTACCACCTTCCAACGAATGATGTATGATGAAGCTATTAGCCCGTATCACGTCAGATACCGATAAACATTTCACGACATTTCGCTTTTAGAAGCAAACTATGCACGGACGTGCGTTTAATTACCGAACATTAAACTAATTTACGTGAGTCAGTCGGCCGTGGGTGTTTTCACCCTCTACAGAGCAGTGCCATTATGATAAGCTGCAGCTGCACTTCTTCCTTTCTTTCTTCGCCATCAGAACATAAACCAACGCTGAGTTTAATACCAGGCTTTGAAAAAAAAAACAGGGGTATTGCAACGGTTATCGGGTTGAGTCAAGTGGTTAGTCTGCCAAGTGTAAGTCAAGTCTTTCCTCGGTCTTCTCAATGTGCCTATTCGTTTGAAAATTCCAACGCTCAAGTGTTACGTTCTCGTTAATTACTTGGAGTACTGTACAGACATTTTTCTTCCTCTCTCACTCCTTCGCTGAAAATTATCCACCGCCAAGTCTAGGTGGAATGACAACGTGTCTCGTCCGGTGGAAAACAATCACTATGAACAAAGCTAACAGTGAGACAACAGGAAGTAATCCATTGATTTTCATGAACCGGAATTGCACCACTCTACCGTCAAACAATGACATCATAAAAATTGTTTCGAGATGTTTTTGTATTCATGGGGGTTTTTGTATTCGTGAGCGGAGGCATTAATTAGCTTCATCTGGTGGCGAATATTCTGAAAATGGTAGAAGTGCGGTTTCGGGCTTTGTGGGATAATGAGGAAGTTGAAGTTTTTTAGTGTATGTACATTTCTATAACTGTTGTAATTGGTTAAGTACATGATTCGAAATCATTATTTTTATGACTCATAATTCATTTTCTATTAATTTCGTATTCAGTGGGGTTCCACGGGAAGTTTGACCTTACAACCTCGAATGTATATTATTACCAGGTAGAAGGAAGACTATTATGAGTATGTTTGTTCCATTTTCGAGAGTTTGAAAAAAAAGAGTTATAAATTAAACCCCTCTCTTCCTGTCTACTTCGATAATACGTTGGAAATTTTTTGAAATTTCGTGGAAGATATTATAGTAAATCTCATGAAAGTGACATTGAATCAGATTTAGAGAAAAAATGGTTATGAAATTTTACAACTGGATTAAATTTTCAGTGGAAGATGAATATTCAGAAACAAAATGACATAAATTTTCAATGTTTCGCTGAATTTTCTGAATTTTTACAGAATAATAGAACTGAAAAATGAAGTATTTTATTGTTTTCCAGATCCTTTGAACAGAAAATCAATGGAATATTTGATTTTTCGATGACAAGTTTTCCTGAAATTTCAGTACGACTTGAACAGGATAAAAATTTCCTGAATTTGACACGGGAAATTCAGACGAAAATTTCGAGCATTGTAGTGATTGCAGGCAAAAACAATTCGTGCTGTGAACAAATTTTAATGATTTCTTGAGATAGAATTCCACCAGAAAACATTTGACCTCATCTCTCTTCTTTTTTGTCTTTTGCTCATTCGCGTGTAATGTTGCTTCTGCACAAAAGGGTTTTGAAACGAGTGAATCCTTTCAGGTGTTTCAAAGTTGTTACCAGTATTACGAGCATTTTTATTTTCCAACAAACTGCATAATGTTTTTTTTAACCACAAAAATTCACTGGCCACAAAATATTCAGCAATGTCCTTATTTCCACGCAAAGTTGGCCGTCAGGTATCGCCTTTCTCGCTGAATCTCTGCTGATTTTTTTTCCGAACATGATACAAACGCAGGCAAAAAGAAACATGCGTAAAATACCTCAAAAAATCTACGGCAATTTCTTGGATGGTCGGCCAAAAAATACACTGACAGAAAAAGTTAATTTTATGAAGAGAATTTTAATTGAATCAACTATAATTTCAGTAGCGAAGTGGTAAAGTGGTACAAGTGAATTTTGACTATTGACCAGTTTTCAATGAATATCTCGGAATCTAAGGGATATAGCTGAATTTTTGTTATAACCTTTTTTGTAGAGCCGGTTGAGCGCTACAACAAATGTAATTATGAAAATTTCGCTATCTCCCTTAGATTCTGAAATATTCCTTAAGAACTCAACTGGGGAGATGAGTCGACTTGAATCGTTTTACCACTTCGCTACTGATTTGCGGGTTAATTTTCAAATAAACACGATATCATAGTGAATACCAGTTATCTCTTCTTGGGATATATTTGATTGAGAGAAATTTGATTTCTTTCTAGCCAAAAGTTTCCTAATTCCAGAAATTCGTTGATTTACTCAAAAATCAAAATTATTCTCATGATTAAATACGTTGTTATCACCGACGGTGGTGGCTGTGTGGTTAGAGTGTGGGATTGCCATG